ATCTGGCCTCAGACCAAATACTTGACACTTACTATCTGTGTGACCCTAGGCAAATCACTTAACCCCAGTTGCCTCAAAACGAACAAACAAAAAAACCCCAAAGAACTGATCAACTTTGGCCTCTTCAGCACCAGTGATTGGAGCATAGACTTGTATAACTGTGATGTTGAATAGTTTGCCTTGGATTAGAACAAATATCATTCTGTTATTTTTGAGATTATACCTCAGAACTACTTTTCTTACCCTTTTATATGAGGGCTGCTCCATTTGTTCAGAGGCTGGTAATCATACATAACACTAAAATAATGCTGAATATAACCTTTGATGATTTAGAAAGCACAGTAAATCTTGATATTAATTTGAATGATCTTTATGAATATTAAGAATTATTATTTTATTGTTCAGTTTTTTTTTCAGTTCTGTGTCCAACCCTTCATGACTCCATTTGGGGTTTTCTCAGCAAAGATAATTGGAGTGGTTCACTGTTTCCTTCTTTAGCTCATTTTGCAGATGAGGAACTGTGGCAAACAGGATTAAATGACTTGCCTAGGGTCACAGAGCTGGTAGTATCTAAGACCAGATATGAAATCAAGACAATGAACTTTCTTGATTTCAGGCCCAGTATGCTCTCCACTGTGCCACTGACCTATAAGCTTTAATAACAAGGTCTAGAAGAGGGGAAAATTTTGGTCAATAAAAATAAAAAGAAATTAATATTTTTAAAAATCCTCAAGATTGCAGTTATTTTCAAATGTGGGAGGCATGAATTTTTGGCCACTAGAGGGAGATCTCTCCTAATTTTTATTCCTGTAACCATGTCACAATTGTTTACAAACCATCTGAAGTCAAAGGCTTCCAGACACATTTGTGTTTCGTCTTTTTGTCTTTAAAATAACAACATCAACACAATTAAATATTTTATATTGTTTAGTCAGTTCCATATTCTTTAATAATTTTATTGGGATGCACTCTGAAGGGATAATATTCATAAATATTAAGATTTTAGTTTTTAATTCTTCTCTTAATGCATCCATTGACACTCAAAGAAAGCTATAGCATTTTTTTTCCTTTTTGACATTGATTCTGTATCACATAAAGGTTATTTTTCTATCAAAGTATATGCTAGACTATTCTTTTTTAATTAAATTTTATATTTTCCAATGAACAATAATGAAAATTTTAGATTGTTTCTTATAGTTATTGTGTATTACCAACTTTATTTTTTTAATGTTAAAATGTTCCTTATTCCTTTTCTTTTGTTCTTTTTAGAAGGAACAGATTCTTAGTCTTGGACTGTAAGATCCAAGGTGAACCATTTATTCTGTGGGTGATGGAGGGAGAGGCAGGTTATTACTCCTTAATTTCACTGATAATTTAAAAAGGTTTTTTGGCTATAATTTTTAAAAATTTTAAATAAGTTTATATTGATATCTTTTTTTTTATATCATCATAGTTATCACCAATATCACTACCCTTCTTCCTCCCAAAGCCACCTCATATGAGAAATTATACTTTCAAAGACCAAAAAAAAGGATCAATACACTGAAAAAGTCCAGAAACACATGCGAATTGCAACACTTGTGGATCTTAAAAATATTTTTAATATGATTCAATCTACTTCACTCCCTTCTGACAATCCTTCTGACAACTCTTCCTGATAACAAGTGTAAGCTTCCAGATACATAAACTTATGTTCCTTGGTTTTCACTAATCTTAGCATAATGTCTTATAATTTATAGGAGTTCAGTAAATAGATATTGATTGATTTGTTGGAATTCATTAGTGTTTTTATTTCTGTTACTAGCAGACCAGTGAGGCAGCATCCTATAGTAAATCAGAGTCAGCAAGACTTTATTTCAAGTCCTATCTATGATACATAGTTTGAATGACTGTGGCTCAAGTTACTTCATCTCTCAGTGCCTCAAACTCTCTTATGACTAATAGAACAGTTCATTCATATTGTTAAAAAAGGAATTTGCTGGGAATTTCATATAGCAATAAAATCACAGGTCAAGACCCACATCTACATAAATACATCATATCAAACAGAAGGACTTGAACAATAGAATGCTAAGATTTTGCCTTAAAAATAATTGCTTAATGTTGTAAAGAAGACCTGCCTTCAAATCTCTCCTCTGGCACCTACTAGCTATGCAACCAAGGGCAAGGCATTCAGCTTCTTATTGCTACAGGTAACTCTCTAAGGTCAAAAGTTTCAGAAGATTTTCTGCATATCTGCATAAGTAGATGGAGTTTTCTATATTTATTGTTGTTCAGTCATGTCTGACTCTATGTGACCCCATTTGGGGTTTTTTGGGTGAAGATACTGTAGTGGTTTGCCATGTCCTTCGCTAGCTCATTTTATAGATGAGGAAACTGAGGCAACCAGGGTTAAGTGACTTGCCCAGGGTGACACATTTAGTAAGTGTCTGAGGCCAAATTTGAACTCAGGTCTTCCTGATTCCAGGCCAGGCACTGTATTTATTGGACCACCTAGCTCCCCTATACAGGGTACTATTTCTATATAGGGACTGCCTATAGCAATAAAATCACAAGTTAACACTAAATTAACAAACAACAAAAAATATTAATGAACAAGAAAATAGATAAATGAATGCATGGATGGTCTATTTTCTTCATCAATGGACCAAGATCATTCACATTCTACCACTTTAGCATCTGCTATGTGACAATGGCACTTCAGATAAAGCTTGAAAATTCAACTGGACCTCACCCCTAAGACATCTTTAAAGGCATTTCAGGATTATTATTCAAGCTATCTCAAAAATGTGTAGTTTCCAAAAGAATGGGGAAAAAATCCCAGGTGGTACAGTTATAAATAAAAAGTGACCAACAAGACATAACAATTACCAACTCATGTATCTACTTTCCCATCCTTTAAAAATGTTTATGAGAATGATATATATCAGGTTAACCTTGTAAGATGATAAAAAAGGAAGATCATTTTCTATAGCAGAACACATCTTTATAGTCACACAATTAATGGAGGAATTTCAAGTATGCATAATCCCAATGAGGCAAAAAATTAAGATTGTTACCAGGGAATAGGATTATAAAAGTGGAGCTATAAGGGATCTTACTGATTAGTGAGTACCACTTCCTCATTTCTCTTTTTTTAATATTTTTTTTTGGTGAGGCAATCGGGGTTAAATGACTTGCCTAGGGTCCCGCAGCTAGTAAGTGTCAAGCTTCTGGAGCTGCATTTGAACTCAGGTCCTCCTGACTCCAAGGCCAGAGCTCTATCTGCTGCACTACCTAGCTGCACCAACTTCCTCATTTCTTAAGTATATAATGAAATCAAAGTCCAGAGAAATTAAGTGACTTACTTGTCTGAAGTCATAATTGACTTTAAGTCTAGTATCTTTTGCACTTTATACACAGCCTTGAGTCCTTGTCAACTGCTTGCTTGTGGGTTTACTGACTTCTCAATAATGAAGTCAATGATTACTCAAATTTTATTCAGTACATCATACAACAGTTTATATGGTACCTTGGTACCATTAGTAATGGGAATAATAGTGAATGCATTACCAAAAATAATGAATGCATTAGCAAAACAAAATGTATTAGCAAAACATTTTTTGTAATAACATTTTAATAAGCAATAACCTAACCTCATTTTATTTTTTCTTTTAAATAGTATTTTGTTTTTTCCAATTACATATAAAGATAATTTTAACATTAATTTTTAATATAAAATTTTGAGTTCTAAATTGTGTCCTTCCCTCCTTTCCTAAGATGGTAAGCAATTTGATATACCAACCTCACTTTAAAATGGGAAAACCTTGAAATGTAATTTGATGAGTCATCCATTTAAAGTACAGTTAATACAAAATTAGCTGGCTCATAACACTGTTTCACCTAAAATCATCTCCTAAAGGAACCAGTTAAATGACTTGCCCAAGGTCACCAGCCAGTATATGGCAGAGCCAAGATTTGAACCCAGGTCTTTTGAATCCCAGTCCAATTCTCTTGTGCCTGGATGCTGAAGATTATCAAGTGGAAGAAGAGAAGATAGGAAGCTATAACTATGCTTATTTAATTTGTTAATGTTCTGAATCATGGAATATTAGAATTTATAATCTGGTTGAGAAGATAAATTAAACAGCAGATATAAATGCTAAATGAATGGCATAACCAGTAAGTTTTGCAAGAGTTAAGATTAAAATATTATTTCTAGCTAAGGCAGTAAATTCCTAGTAGAAAGGAGTCAGTAGCAGACCCTGTGACTTTTCTCCAATGATGGGACTAGCTAAGTGGCTAAGTGAGGCTGGTCCTCAGAGAAAAGTCACAAGGGCTGTCACTGACTCCTTTCTATTCAGAAGGTTGATCCAAATGATGTTTTCCTGGCCATACCTCATGAAATATAGAGGGCTTGTGATATGAGTTAGTGGAAGGAGAATCAACTTGAGTATAATTATGTATCTTGCAAAGCATCAAAAGAAAAAAAAGAGTCCCATTGGATAGGAGAATTTTAAAGAAGGTTTTAATGGGAGTCTTTGTAAAATTGTTAACTGTGAAACTACCTTTTTCAACTGGAAGTTGTGTACTTCTGGTACCTAGTGCAGCAAAGTATACCTGAATGAATCATTTCTCTACCCTGACTACCACCCTCCAGTTTGGTCTATTTGGGGATTATCTCTCAAAGAAAGTTCTGGAAATCCTTGGACTCTTGCAACTAAGTCTTTTGACAAAGTGTTGGAAACTTATTATGCCCCTATGAGAAATGTTTATTTTTAAGTTCTTTCAGAAAGCCAAAATAACTCAAACAATAACATATTCAGGGCTACTAAAGAACTACATTATGCATTATACTGTTTTAATAATTGGATCTACTTTGGCCATCATTCATTATTTACTTGAGTAATTCTATTGAATAATGAATTCCTAAAATCATTTGAATAATATGCAACCTTGTATTTTGCCACTTTCTTTAGCTGAATGTTTAAATAATTACTTCAACATTTTCTTTCTTTTAGATGATCTTATAATGTCCTTCACAGTATCCATGGCCATTGGGCTTGTCATCGGAGGTATCATCTGGGCATTGCTTGTCTGTCTGTCCAGACGAAGAGCCAGCGCCTCCATCTCCCGATGGAGTTCAAGTCGTCGTTCCAGACCTTATTCCCATAGTCTCAACAGGACTGGATTTTATCGGCACAGTGGCTGTGAACGTCGCAGCAACCTCAGCTTGGCCAGCCTAACCTTCCAGCGACAAGCTTCCCTGGAACAAGCTAATTCCTTTCCTAGAAAATCAAGTTTCCGGGCCTCTACTTTCCACCCTTTCTTACAGTGTCCTCCATTACCTGTGGAAACTGACAGTCAACTAATGACTCTTCCTTCCACCAATACCTCCGCCATCATCAATGCCACACACAGTTTGAGCCGCCCAGACTTTCATTGGTCTAATAATAGCCTTCGTGTTGGCCTTTCAACACAAACTCCTCCACCAGCTTATGAGTCTATTATAAAGGCATTCCCAGATTCTTGAATAGAGGATTATCTGTGCTTTCTTTTTTGTAAGACATAATCACAAATAAATTAAATAAATTTTGTGGAAGGGGGTATAGTCAAGATGATTAGAGGGTCCCCAGGACTGTGTTATTCTGGTAATGTTGGAAATTAATGCACTGTTTGGTTTGTTCCAAAGAAAGTGCCTATGTGCCACAAAAACTTCATGTTCTACCATATATGTAATGTTATATTCCTGTATTATAAAGCTTTTAGAATAGAGTAAAGGGTTTGCTGAAATATTACATACCCCTTTAGTGGTTTTTAACATAACTGATGAATCTATGTTTTTAAGAAACTTCTGCTTTGTCTTATGTTTATTGTGGGGGAAAATGTTTAAATATCCATCCTTATGCTTCATGATGAAAACTTGTTTTTTTTTTTGAGAAAACTCCCTTCATTTTGACATCAAATTCCATTTCAAAACACTTTTAAATCATCTGGTAGCTTTAAAATTGTAACAAAAAGAGACTAATTTGCATTGACCTGTGAAATGATACCATAAGAAAACAATCATCAGAAGTAGTATTAGACTTTTTCATTTCCAGAGAGACTCCATTATACAGTTTTTTTTTCTCATTCATGATTTTTCATGTCAATAAAGTCACTGTGGAGTTCTCATACATAGAGGGAAAGGAAGGGAACAAGCATTTATATAGTGCTACTATGTGCCAACTGTGGTAAGCATATTTTACAAATATCTCATTTGATCCTTACAACAACCCTGGGAAGTAGGTGCTATTATTATTCCCATTTTACAATTAAAGAAAATGAAGTTAATGAATTGCCCAGGGTCCCCTAGCTAGCAAATATGTAAAGCCAAATTTGTATTTAGATATTCCTGACTCCAGGTCCAGTACTCTATCCACTGCTCTACTAGTTGGATATTAGAGCTTTCATTGTTATCACTACCTTCCATTTTTTTTATTAGCAATTGTCATCACTGAAAAAAAAATCCAGCTATATTTTATGCCAAGAAAGGAATGAATTTTACAATAAAACTCTATGGCATTAAAGGACAAGCTTTTCTTTATTACACTAACATTTAGATCTGATTTATATCTCAGAAAATCTAAATATGCATTTCTATCATCATCTTTTTCCTTTGCACGTAAGGTATCCTATCCTTTATAAAAATAAAGGTTAACTTTTGTTTCAAAGAAACCATTCCTAATTTACCAATATGATATGTTGGTTGCAAAATCTCCTATGATTTTTTTGCTTAATGATAAAGTATATTGAATTGCATGGGGTACATACGTAGGGCACATGGATCTATGCAGTTTAAAGGACTTATTTTTATAGGTTGTCATCCTCTTAAAGAACATGTCTCCAGCTGCTGGAAATGTAATTGGTCCAATTTCATGCTGATGCTGTGTCCTTTGTCAGGCAATGGGTTCAAAACATAAATGAGACCCATAGTTGGGTTCAGTTATAGTGAAAAAACAGTTTATTTTTCAGATAAAAATTGTACATTTTGTTAAGGATTGATCTTTCATCTTTTTTTCTAAAAGTCAATGAGTGGTACCATTAATAGTAGCTAAATATGGGCCTAAATTTGATTTTAAAAATTAATTCTGATGTTCTACTTAGGATCTTTTTAATAATTTTAATTAGACTTATTTTATGTCTTTTTGTTCTTTAAGTGAAATTGTTTATTCTGAATATTGCCTTTCAGATATATACCCTTTATTGTTATATTCTTTCAGAAAATCCTATAATGGATTTGATAAAAGTTGCTCTTTAATGAGGATTGATTTTTAAAGATGAGCTTTTGTTATCAAAATAAGACAGATTTTAAAGAAAGCTTTACATTTGTAACTTGAATGAAAAATACATATTATTTTGGTTTTAGTCTGAAATTTACACTGGAAATAAAAGGCTTACCATAAAGGAAACAAAAACTAAAATCTTCCAATACATTTAACAACTTGGTAGGTAGGATGATTAAAAAAATAATCATAACATTCATCAAATAAGTATTTTGTAAAGATGGTAGAGACCGTAGAATGTATGTGTATATGTGTGTGTGTATGTGTGTGTGTGTTGGGGGGGGGGAGACCAAAATAAAATCTTTTGTTTTTCTATAAACATTTTTCTTGGGTAAATATTTGACTAAAACTAATTGCAGCTTTAGTTTATAATGATTTGTACATTACAGAGAACTATTTGGGAATTATTTGGTAACAACTACAATGAAACTTACAATTTTTGAAAAGTCAGAAGGCAGCTATAATTGACATAATTATTGACATAATTCAGAAAAAAAATATCTTCATACTGAGGGAAATTAGAGCTCCCTCCCCAATTATGCATGAGTTAACTGTCAAGTAATTGTTGGCTAATTATTCTTTTCCCATCGATTTTGTCGTTGTATATCCAACTACAGTAAATGTTGCTGAAAACCAGATGGCATAGCTGAACAGTCATCCATTTATTATATCTCAATGAATAACTTTTATCACTGTCTTAGAGGATAAAAGACACAATATACATTGGACTTATTTGAATGATATACAAAGTCATTGGGTCAATTGATCAATAAACAAGAAGTTACTAAGTGCCTATCATGTGTTAGGAACTGTATTAGGCACTGGAATATAAAGACAAAATAAATCAATTCCTGCCCTCAAGTAGCTTACATCCTATCAGAGGAAATCCACATGAATATTGTAACATAATAGCATCTGTACAAATAACAGAAGATGTAGTACAATACTTACAAAGTAATTAGATAGACACTAGCAGTGGGGGCAGGGCCAGGAAAGCCTGTAAGCTGATCTTTGAAATGAAAAAAGGACTTAAAGTTGCCGAGATAAGAAGGAAGTGCATTCAAGGCATGGGGAATAGCCTGTAAAAAGACAAGATCTGAAATGGAATGTGGTGAATGAATAACAATAAATAAGCCAACTTATCCAGAAGAAACTATGCATGGAGAATAGTAATAAGCATAGAAAAAATAATGGTAGTAAGGATAGGGCCATATTGCATAGAGCTTTGAATACCTAAGAGAGGAGCTTGTATTTCATCCCAGAGGCTACTAGAACTCCTTGATCAGAGTAGTGAAGTGATTTGGCTTGTACTTTAGCAATATTCCTTTGACATCTGCATGGAGGATCACATGGAAAATAGAGAGACAAGGCAGAGAGAATAATTAGGAGGTTATATGGACTCCTTTGTTGTGGTTGTTCAGTTGTTTCAGTTGTATCCAACTCTGTCACCCCATTTTGGGGTTTTCTTGGCAAAGATACCAAAATGGTTTGCCATTGCCTCTTCCATCTTATTTTATAGATGAGGAACTGAGGCAGAGTTAAGTGACTTGCTCAAGGTCACACAACTAGTAAATGTCTAAGTCAGGATTTAAAATCAGGAAGAAGAGTCTTCCTGATTCCAGGCCCAGCACTCTAACCACTGTACCACCTAGCTGCCCTATATTGCCTCCAGGCATTTTAATATAAAGCTATATGGTATTGAGGATGATAAAAAAAGAAAAGTTTTATTAATTATGTTTGTTATAGCTATCTTTTAGTTCTATTTGTGTTGGAAAAATGAAAATAATTTAAGCCCTCAATTGACTGGTCTGTCTATATCATTCTAAATAACTATTTTTTCTGATTAAAAAATAATTTCATTTGAACTGATAACTTATTTTGCTATTATGCAGGTAAGATTGTAGGTATACAAAATGAATGAGCATTAACCAAATGCCCAAATTTTTTAAAAAATAATGTCATCACATGTAAGTGTAGAGGGATAACTTTGGAGTTAATGATTGTTCAGCTGAGAGGTTTTTTATTCTCTTTCATTCTGGAAGATGGGCTGAGGACCAAGGAAGAAACATTCATACAAGAACAGGGTATTTCCTTTGTGAATCTTGGAACCCTAAACCTGGAGAGCTACAACAGCAGTTGTTTTTAAAGAGCTTTTTGTCAGTCAGAGCATACTGAACAGCTCAATTAGAACTTAGCATTAAAATAAAGGTAAATGTTAAGGCTTAAACAATTATGCTTGGCTGTATTAAAAACACAGGGGAACATAAGTAGTGTCAAGGTACAAAATAATCTAAAAGCCCTAAAGAAGTTTCATGATTAGCAAAGTCTTCTGTAGTCCATGCTAATGAGTTACCCTGGAATAGTACATTTTGTCTTTCAACAGGTTGGTAATGTCTTCAAAGGCAGGGGAAGTGGTGGGAAGGGAAAATATATATTAAATTTGTTTCATTTAACATAAAACTTATTTAAAAGAAGCAGGTGATAGCCAAAGTGTGGAAGGCTTTAAATGCCTTACCGTAATACTCCTTAGGAGCAAGGAAGTATAAGTCATTATGTGTCCAACGAAGAACAAAGAGGGCAGTGATTATAGAATGCTTCAGGAGAATCAAGACCGTAGCTTAGCTTAAGGTCTGATGCATAGTATATGCTCAATAAATCTTTTTTATTATTAATTTTTGACAGCTTGGAAAAGAAAAAGCAGAGAGGAGACATGATAGCTATCTTTTTGTATTTAAAAGGATGTATTATGATTGGGAAATTGAGCAGTGCTTTTAATGACTTCAATCTTCTCTCTTCAGCGATGTCAGTCAGTGGGAGTAGGACTTTCATCTCCTTCTGTGCAATTTCCTGCCTAATCTTCAGCCTTCAGAGGGAAGAAAAGCAGTGAAATGGGACATCTTTTCTAACCATCTGCTTTCTGTCTCATTCCACTTTTCTCCAGTCTGATCTGTAGACATTTCTGAAGAGTGGCACCTTTCACTCAATGATGAATGTTTTTACACCTGGCCATACTCTACGTATCCCAGAGATTCTGAATCCCTGTAGGTCATCATTAAACCACCTTCCTCATCCCCACCACCCAATTTCTTATTCCCATCCCCTTCAACCTTCCTACACCAAAATTCCAATCAAACACCACCCAACCTTTACACTATACCCTCTGGAATGTCTGTTCCATAGTCAACAAAGTTCCTTTCATCCTAAATCTTTTTCTCTTTTATTCCTTCCATCTTTCAGTTATTACTGAAATTTGTCTTCCCACTGATGACACAGCCTCCATGACCTCCCTTTAGAAATGATGCACCTTTCTAAATTACTGGCTGTATCTTCATTCATTCCCCTTAATACTGGCTGAGAGTTGGAATAATCTTTCCTCCCTATTGCCATTTCAAAGTTCTTTCTCTACCTCCATCACTCAGTAATCTCTCCTCCTTTGAGTGTCACATAATTTATATTTGCCATTAAAATCCTGG